ACTGAAGTAGGATATAAGTGGCAATGGAAGAATGCAAGTCCATGACAAACACCACACCCCTGCCCTCCTCTCCAAGCTATCCGAGTAACACAGGGACACAGGTAAATCTTGGCATTCATCTGTTGAAAGGACTCCGTCTGAAACACAAGATGCTTCCAGAAATGGACTGAATGGTTTCACTTGTTCTTAAGAGACTTTATAGATACTGTATGTGAGCTTGCTCTGAGTGGGTACTTTGTGTCCTGAACATTCCCAGCTCTGGAAAAGCTCAAGTCTTATTGAGGAGCAGAACTAGACTTCTCCAAGGAACCACTGCCACCCCACAGGTACCTCTCACTCCCTGTGGCAACTCAGAGCATCCTCAGAACTTCTCTTCCAGTGGCTGTGACAATTTTAGTCACTCTCATTTTATACATCTTGACATTTTCATCAGCAGATTTTCCAGCTTAGCCATGCCTTGTGTCTGTGTGCAATCCTCTTAAAAAGGGAGTGATTTCTTATAAGAACATTAGCGTATTTTAAGCTAGGTTAAAGTAAGTCCCCACAAATACTTTCATACAATATTGCAGAGACCTTAAGTCTAGTGAGGATAGTACGAGTAATGTACAGAAAAAGTTGTAGAGCCAACCAATTACCTGCAGGACTTAAACCCCCTGCCACAAAACTTACTTTGAGCTTGTACAGCAAGAGGCATTTTGGGATGTGCTCTGCCTTGGTGATCAGGATTGCACTTACAACTCCCACAAGTTTTTATAAACACCAAGCTCAGCTGAATCACAGGCCATGTGGGGTCTGATAATATCTGTTGTTATATACATATGCTATGAGGAAATCTCAACTGGCAAAATTCCTACTGATACAAATGAATGAAGAGTCACAGATCTACACAGAGAAGAATGTGAAATTACCCACTGCCACACACCAGCCTGAGATTCCACACACTTGTGTGGCACCCCGAATTTGGCCTGACAGCACAATTTGCTTTGTACATCTGCAACATGAAAAGAAGGGGGAAAAAAAAAAAAAGAAGATCCATGCACTGTCGTTATGCAGAGCCCAGTACTTCGAGACAAATTACAGCCATGTTACTGAAGCACACACAGAAACATCTGTTTCATGACACTTCAGTGATGTGACTGGGGGGCAGGTCCTCCCCACGCCCCCTGAAAGTAAAACTAAACTTTATTGACTTTTTAAGTTAACAGGAGTCTCACCACAGACTTCAGTAAACTTTGGATCAGCCTCTCCAGAGAAAAAAGAAACTCTGTTTGGGGCTCTTCCAAGCGATCCTGTTCCTCCCAACACTTCGGTCAGGTTGAAAGATTATTTTATTTCTTTGTCTCCTTGCAAAGGCAGATTGACCAGCTCCCAAACTGCTCCAATTCCCCCATCCCGACCCCTGTTTGACCGCCGCAGCTGCCCCCATGCTGCGATTTCTGAATACATCTTTTAATCCATCTTCCAGCCTCCAGCCTGGCAACAATGCTCCTTTCAATGCCCACCAGCACCAACCCAGCTCGCCCGCTCTCCAGCCCTGGAACATCCCCACCATCTCCCACAAAGCCCGGGATTTACCAGCCGGGAGCCGGCCGGAGTTCTCCGTGCCTGTGGATTTGGACACATGTTCCGGCGCTGAATGTTCCCAGGCTCCAGGCCAGCTTTGCTGGGATAACTCATCTCCCTGCGGCTCCCGGCAGAGCCACCGCGCTCCCCACAGGCGGGGGGATCCCGGAACGGGGGGCGAGCTCTCCCCGACCACCACAGCACAGCCCCGGCTCTGGGGCGGGCGCAGCCGCTGCCCCTCGGCGCTCCCGGGTCCCGCCGCCCGCAGAGCCGCCTCTCCCCGCAGCGCCCCGGCCTTACCAGAGCGCGATGCGGCTCTTGGGGTAGCGGAGCCTCTCGATGCAGCCCAGGACGTGCGGCAGCGTGTGCGCGGCGTTGCGGGCGAGGATGGCGAGCAGCACGGTGGGCTGCAGCAGCGCCGACTCGGGCAGCGCGGGCTGCTCGGGCCCCGGCGGCTCGGGCGGCTCGGGCGGCTCGGGGGCGGCCCCGCAGCCGCGCAGCAGCGGCGGCAGCAGCAGCAGCAGCAGCGGCGCGCTCGCAGCCATGATGGGCGAGGGGCAGCCGCCGAGCCGCCGGCAGGCAGAGCGGGCTCCGGCGCAGGGAACGCGGGAGGAGGAGGGGCAGGGAGAGAACGGAGGAGGGAGAAGGGGAAGGAGGAGCTGAGCAGCGCCGCCGCCCGCCCTGCGAGCCCCGCTTGTCGCCCCCCGGCGCCGCCCGGACCCCGCGCTGCCGCCGCGGCCCCGGGTGGGAGCCGGTGCCAGCCCCGAGCCCGGCAGGCTGCGGTCAGCGCGGCTGCTCAGCGCCCGCGGTAAAAGCTGCAAACCCCGCGTTTCTCCACCCGAGTTTTGGGTTTTAAAAGAGGCTTTCGGAGTGTTGCTGCTAAGGCTGAGATGTCCCTTTGTTCGACGCTTACTTGAAGATCTCGCCCTCATCCTTCCCACACAAGTAGGGAATTAAAGTAACTTTGAGCTTCCATATCAGGACGTTTTCGGTAAACATCCGTGGCAACAAATGTTCCTAGGAAGCAGCCGCACACCCCACACCCATCCCACGCTGCAGGAGGGATGCCCTGTTCCAGCTGGAACGCAGCTGGAAGATTAATATTGTAGAGTCATAGAAAGACTTAGGTTGGAAGGGACCTTCAGGACAACCTCATTCCAACCCCCTGCCATGGCAGGGACACCTTTCACTGCCCCAGGTGGAAGCCACATCCAAGCTGGGCTTGGACGCTTCAGGGATTGGGCAGCCACGGCCTCTCCCGACAGCCTGTGCCAGAGCCTCCCCACCCTCACAGGGAAGAAATGCTTCCTAATATCCAATGTAAATGTACCCTCTGTCAGTTTAGGGATGTTCCTCTTGTCCTATCACTATCTGCCCTTCTAAAAAGTCACTCTCGCTCTTTTTTAGAAGTGCCCTGAAGGGGCTCAAAGGTCTGCCTGGAGTCTTCTCCTCTCCTGGCTGAACAACCTGAGCTTTCTCTGCACCTCTTCTTTGAAGACAGGAAATACAGGGAAGATTTTCCCTGTGCTTCATTGACTTATCTGCCATGGAAATGTTCCCATGAGTAAATCAATGGCAATTTAGCATAAAAATACATAAAACATATTCCAACAATTAAAATTATTGGGTCATGATCTTAAAAGTGGCATAGTAATCACAGTTCTCTTAGAAGTTAATAGGATTTGGGCGTGCTAGACCCTTTTCAAGATGAAATCTCTAATTAACTCTAAGGGCCCCATCACAGCATATTTGGGTTTTATTGTGAGTAGGAAGTTTCTCCAAGGTGGACTTTGAGCAGGTGCTGCTCTCGGCTGCGTGCTAGCAACACTTAAAAAGGAGGAAACCTTTAGCGAGCAAACAATTGTTTAATTATCCATAATCTCACTGTGAATTGCTTGCATCCAGGTAGTGTATATATAAATATACACACACATTATATATAGAGTTAATGTCTGCTCCTCTTTGCTTATAGAGCCTAATTTATCATGCACACCAAATTATATTGTCTCAGTTTCCTGAGCAGATGACTTCCATAAAAGGATCATTCTAGGAAACTTCAATAAAGAATCTCCAGGTGTCACAGAATCACCTGCACTAAAATTTGAGAAATTCTCTCAATTTGTCCTCATCTTCCTGACAATCAGTGCAAATGTGTTCCTCCTGCTTGCCCTTCACGATGCCTTTATAATTGTCCTTCTAGAATGATACATTAATGAGGCTTTTCTGTGATGGTTAGTTTGCCACATGTTGCTTTTATGCTTGGATTCATTATCCAAATAGAAGGAGCAGCCCTGCAGCCAGTGAGGGTGATTAGAGTTTCACAGGAGCCAGCCCCATCCACACGCACAGAATTCCTCCGCTGCCAAACTGTGCTTGATGGGGAGGGCTGGGAGCTGGCATTTTCCACCCACTGGACACTCAGCCTGGGTCACAGTCCCGATTTTAGGATGTTTCAGCAGAAATAAGCCCCCTCTCTGCCTGTTTTTGCCAGAACTCTGAGTGTGTGCCTTTACCCTGTGCCGCTCTTGATGTTCTCAGTGAAATCTAAACTTCCTTCAGCTCTTTGCAGACTCCTCTCTTCTTTTTATTTTGTGAGCAGCATCAGAGTCATAAGGATTTGCTGGGGGCAAACAAAAAGAATCCAGCAGCATCCCAAAGCCAGTGATTCGCTCTCCAAAGTGACCTTCCCTCGCTCACACAGCCCCCTGTGCTGGCTGGCTGCCATGGAGCACAAAGGAGTGAGAGCAGCAGAAGCCTGAGACATGAGCTGTTCTTCCATGCAGAAGAGAAAGGAGTCAGCTCAGCTGCATCTCTCACTCCCAGTCACACACAGCTGGGGCAAAGTTTGGAGAGCTCAGGGAAACAGATACATGACAATTCGTGTCATCCCACCACCTGTAAATGTGTATGACTTCATGTCCACGTACAAAGAAATCTGTACTCATTCTGACTTCTTTATTGGTGGCCAAAATTACGTCCTGTGGGGTTTTTTTAAGCCCAGACTCCATCCTGCTGTGACAAGACAATGAGCCACTCTGTGGTGAAATATTTTAGCTTTGAAGAAGAAATGGGTTTTTGCAGATGTAAGTCCCACAGAAATCAATTTAAGCCATTTGTTTCAGCCTCCACTAAATATCTACACCAAACAAGGAGACTCCAGCTATGACAGCTGTCTCTGGCAGAGGCATAATCCCTCGGTTTGGCACGTGACAAATTCTCTCTGAGGCAGATTTCTTCTAAATTGTTTCCCACATTGAGGAAAACAGAGGTTCCATCCTGCTGGTGTAAATTGACTCATCTAGAGATTGATGTGGATCCATCGCCTTTGGCCGCTGCGAAGGGGCGGGGAAGTAGGAACGGAGCGGCGGCGGAACGGCCGGCGCGGTGCGGCAGTTTCCGGGGAGCGCTGGGCTGCGCGGCGCCGCCCGGAGTGAAGCCGCGTTGCACACAGGCGGGCCAGCATGGAGCCGGCGGCCGGGCCGGGCTGGAGCGGCATTTGCCCGGCTCCGGGGGGCCAGGGGGGCGCCGATCCGGGCCAGGGCTCCTCCGCGGCCGGGAGGGCCTCGGGGGCACAGGGCAGCTGGTCGGGGGCGGCTGGCGGCAACTGGATCACGGCTCACCCCACGGTAGGCCGGGACAGGGTCCCCTCGGTCTCTCGGGGTCCCCTCTGGCTCTCGGGGGTCCCGTGGGCTCTCGGGGTCCCCTCGGTCTCTCGGGGGTCCCGTGGGCTCTCGGGGTCCCCTCTGGCTCTCGGGGGTCCCGCTGTCCCGGCCGGACCCCGCAGGATTCCCCCCTCGCGGCTCTCGAGGTGCACGTGGGGTCCCCCCAGGAGGGTTCTGCGGGGAGATGCCCATATAATCCATGATATTGGGATTATCGAGGGGGAATGCCACCGCCGGCAGGGGCGGAGGTTATAAATCGTGGGATCCCAGCTGGGAAACGTAAATGCCTTAAACTTTGACTCCATCTTAATTTTTACCACACAGAAAACATGGAGCTGTTTAATTTGGCCGTCGTCTTGCATTGATGTGTTGCAGCAAAAATAGGTACAATTACTTACCCAACATAGGTAAAATTCCACAAAGCTAGAGCTGTTCCAGAAATAGTTGTGACTCCTCTTGTGTTTGTTTATTTTGCTTGCTTTTTTTAAGTGCTAAAATATGGGGAATGCAGGAAAAGGAGCTTTTGAGATAGTCAGGAAACAACTCCTGCTTTTTGATCGCCTTCAGACTGGTTTGAACCTCCAGTGGCTGTGCTGGCTGGAGGGATGGTGTGTGCATTCTCAGTTTAACCTGTGCTTTTCTTCATCAACGTTCCTCTTTGGGTCTCAGTTCACAGAAATGATGTCACTTGATGTGTCTGACAGCACTCAAGTCTACGCTGCCTTTTTGGTGTACCTGGACCTCCTGGAAGGTAAAGGGGGGAAGTGACTGTATCCCAGCTAATGCCTTTGCCCTGAGCAGCTGTTAAATTCATTGTTTGCACTGGGACAGGGCCTTCCCAAGTCCTTGGTGCCCATTTTGAGAGTTTTTGTACTGGAAGTTTCTATTCTCTGCCTCCTTGGAGCCTGTGCAAAAATGAGGGCCCGTTTCATCCAGCACTTCCAGGTGCAGGTGTTCAGGGAAAAGGAATCAGCACGGAAATAAAAGCAAAAGAGGAGTAGGGGGAGGAAAGGAAATGTAGGAAGGTGAAGTGACAAATTCAGTGGTTGAGCTTGTAATAGTGCTCACTTGCAGATTGAAATGAAGTTACTCAATCATAGTGTGAAATGTGAAGTTACTCAATCATAGTGTTTCACAAAAGTCACCACTTAGCACATGGCTGCTGTGTGCTGGCCTGTTTTCTGGGAAGGGCAGTGGTTCCTCTAGCAAAGAAGATAATTTGCAAGTGTGGTAGCAGTAGTTTATAACCATTGTAGTAATTGATAATAAATTGTATGTGTTGTGCTTAGGGCCATGGCTTGGTGGAGGAGCTGGCAGTGTCAGGTCACTGGTGGGACTCCATGATCTTGGAGGGCTTTTCTTGCCAAAATGGTTCTGTGAAATCCAGTGTAGTCTGCTGGTGTCTGCTCAGAGTGCAGCAGAGTTATGTGATATATAAACTTCTGCCTGGCTTCTTCCAAGTTGGCTTTATTGAAAAGGGACTGTGAGTAGGCAGCCAGCCAACCTAAGAAAAATATTTCAGTTTTGCTTGGAGCCTGGTGCTTCTCAAGGTCAGGGAAGGGAGGGATTTTCCAGTCTAGGAATTGCTGCCTCTGTTGCTGTTACACCTCTGAAGAAAATGCCTTAACAGTCTTCAAAAGAAGATTTCTGTAGTTCTGCAGCAAAAACTTCATCCATATCCCTTCAAGCAGGAGGTTAGAGCTGTGTATGATCATTAACCATGCTTTTAGCACCTGCTGCTTCACAGATCAGCGTGCTCTAAAGGTGAATAAAGCTGCATGGTTTTATCTTCTTTTTGCCTTTTGCAGAGCAGCTTTGTCAGACAGATCACTTCACCACCCCTCAGTGCAGCTCTGGAGCCAGCAGGCTGCTCCTGCTCCTTGGATTTCTTTAGCAGGATTGCTTCTCAGGAGGGGAATTTGGCAGATGAATGGAATTTTCCTGTGAAGGAAAGGGGGAAAAGAGGGAGAGGGAGGGAAAAGAAAACCTTAGCTGTTAACTTAGATACTGCATTTTTTATTTGACTGATTGAAACTTGTGTTTTGTGTTCTGCCCCTCTCATCCCCCACGAACCTTTCTAGGGAGGAACTGGCATGAGGTGCAGCCGGTGGGCGTGGCAGAGCTGCAGCTGGTGTGTTTGCATGCCCGTGCCAGGGAGCAGGAGGGGCTCCAGGTGATGGTGCCAGTGCCTGCACACATCCTGATCAGCCACGAGAGGTGAGGGCGTGCTCAGTGCTTGTCTCGCGTTACCTCGGACAGAAAACGGGGCACAGGTACATTGTACAGGCTGGTGGTGGCTTGGTGAAGAGGGGAAGGAGGAGGAAATAGAGGAATGTCAGAGGAAAGCAGCCTCTCAGCCTGTAAGCAGAGTTATTTTGGGCTCTGCAGACACACAGGCAGCTTGGAACATTAAGGAAAGCTCAGCTTTGCATCAGTCTCTGCCTCTCCCTGTCTGGAAGTGGTTCCTGGAGGTCAAGCAGAAACTGATGCCCACTGATAAACACTTCCTGTTGTCTGGAGTTGCATATGTGCTAGGAGATAACAGTGGACACCAAAGTATGTGTTTGAGAGACAAGGTTAGAACACAAGGCCTTCACAGCTTATGTTTTGAACATTCCTGTGCTGATTTTGTACTCTGGGAAATGTATGATGCTTTCTGAGTTGCTGGACTTGAAAGGACCTAAGAAGAAAGAAATCCTCTTGGAGCTGCCTAAGAATCAGCTTTTTTAATTGTCAGATTTGTGGATAAGCCTTGTATGGTTTGCTTTGCTTTTGTTTTCAACCTGTAATTTGGCTACTTTGAACAGGAAACTCCTCTCACTTTACATCTAGAGTCTCACGTGCCTGTGATTTTTGGCTTGATTTCCTCACACATGCAAGAGCAATTCTTCAAGCAGAAGACAGCACAGCCATGAATTTGTTACATTACAGATATCTACAGCCTAGGAAACTTCCACTTCTCTTTTAACTGGCCCCTAGAGCAGCCTCAGACACAGGGTCTGATTTACTCTCTGATAAAGGCTGCCCTCTCTGACTGGTGTTTGCCATGATGACTCTGAAGATCTGAACTATTTCAGTGGCATCACATGGTTGTACATTTTTCAATTTCTTCTGTTCCTGCTCTTGCTGGGAGCTGGCTCAGGGCTGGCTCTAAAAATCTTAGTGTTTTTTGCTGCTTCCTCTTGCTCTGTGGGCAGCAGCCTGGCACAGTGGTAGGTGGCTAATTAATTGCACTTATTAGATGTGTGTGTGCACTCTAGGAGCGATGCTTTTGCTTTTTATTTTGGAATTTAGCAGCAACAGATCAGTATCTTGCTAACAGACTTTTATCATAATTTTGCTGTTTGCTGGGTGAGGGGGAAGAAATTTTTTTACTAGGTATTGATGGGGTTTAGTACTGTTTTTGTGCTGAAAAAAATACTGTATTTGCAAGTATTGGTCAGTCACTCCTGGGGGCTTGGTGATGTGATTTCCACAGGAGAGGAGAGCTGCTGAGGGGCCTTGCAGGGTGAAATGCTGGGTGTCCTTCAGCCTGTCTGCAAGCAGATCTCTGTGTGTGTGTGTGTGTGTGTGTGTGAATGAAAGGGATGTGCTGCAGCTCTCAGCTCAGACAGGATTTTAGGTGGAAATAGAAGGCAGCCAGTGAGCATGTGAGATCTTTGAGGAATTCCACCTACATGCTGAGCTGCTGTGCTTGGTTAATATAGTGTGTTTCCACCTGGGCTGAAAACTTGGATTCTTGGCATTGGGTAGAGGCTAGGAGTACGTTCTGATTGATTTTTAATGACAGATATTCCACTGCATGCATGTCCTATCTTATTCTGTGTCATTGGAGCTTTTCATGGGGAGCCTCTGCACTTGTTTGTTCTGTGGTGATGCTGTTTGCTCTGCCTCTGGCACCGGAGTGTCTGGAATCCAGTACTGGAAGGATGTGTGGTGGAGAGGCAAAGCGTGAATGCATCACATTGATTAAAAGTACAGTTTGTAACCAGGGTTTGCTGCAGAGCAATGACACAGGGTGTGTTGTCACTAAAATGAGCTGAATCCCAGCTGCAGTGCCAGGTGTGTCCATAAAGGCCTGTATGTGTTCAATAGCCATGGATGTTGTCAGGCTGGGAGGTTGTATTTGTGTACAACACTTGTGTCTGTGGTGTTGAAAGTGCATCTGCATTTTGTTGAAAGCAGCACTTTGTGGTTTTGTGTTACATGCTAAAAGCAGGGGGGGAAGTATGAGTACAAGTGAATGCAGCTTGCTTAGTTGAAAATAAGCCCTTGGAGGGATTTGGGAAGGTGAAAATGTTCTGTCTATTCTGGGCCTGGAATTGTTCTAACTGCAAAAGAAGCCAGTAACAGCAGCATTTATGGGCAGCACTTCCTTGTTTAACCGGTAGGGTTTGGAAGTGACGCCTTGAAATCAGACTACCATCTTCATTCTGCTCTGTTTTTCTTACTGGTAGAAGAAAGAAAGTGATTCACTGGAAAATAATGGATTTTAGTACTACGTATGTGCTAAAAAAGATCTCACATTTTGCCAATATTAGTCAGTCACTTTTGTGGGCTTGGTTTTGCGGAGAAATATAGTGGTGGTTCTCTATTTGAAATCCATGTCAGCCAAGCTCTGCCTTCCCAGGTGTCTCATGAAGTTCCCAACTTGGCTGCCGCTGAGAAGTGTGTCCTTAAAAGGCCACAGGAAAGTTGCTGTGGAAATTACCAGCAGGACACCTAGGCAAATGACAAATATGAGTGCCCTATAAAAATTAAAACCTATTCAATGTTTTTTAGCCTGTTACAAAATTTCATTATATGCAGTTTGAGCATGACAAGTGCTCAAACTGGACATAATGAGATAAGTGCTGAAGGCAAAAGCTGTTCTGCTTCCTAAGCTCACTGTCCATTTCTGCAGAGCTGGGTGGAAGCTGCTCGTCCAGCTGTGGCAGCGTAGGGCTACACAGCAGCCCACTAAATTACAGAATTATGGGCTGTGGAGCAGAGTGTTGAGAAGTGGCTTTGTGCTCTGTGTATTCTTCAGATGAAGATTGCTGGATTTCCTGTGAGTGAAGCCCTGGTGAATACGATGCAATTTCTGTCTCTCTTGGCCTGCTGTGACCCACACAGAGCTGGCTGAGGCTTGGGGAGCCTCTGAATTCAGCAGGGACTGGCGCTTGTGGAAGGAGTTTGCAGGTGCATAGGCTGGGGTGTGTTTGCTGCTCACTACAACACCTCAGTGCATGCCAAGTACCTCGTTGTCCATTCCAGAGCTGTGGCTCCCCACTGTGGGGGAAGCAGTGAATCCTGGGATTCTGCTTCAGAGCTGGCAGAAATAACTCACGTAAACCAAGCTCAGCAAGTTAGGAGAGCTCACAGTGTTGGCAGCTGGATTTTTAGATAGCCTGGAAAGCCTTGAGCGTTCAGAGACCAGGGAGTTAGGTCCCAGATGTATTAGAATTGGGCACTGTCTGTCCTGGACAAGTAACTGTGTCTAAGCAGAACGTTGCAGATAAACTGTCAGATTAAATGGCACGTCACTGCTCTGTTTGTGTTTTGTGTACAAGTGTTGTAAATGAAGGATGAAGTTGCCTAAGGTCATGGAGACCTGTGAAGTTTGGGAAAGGCTTATTCTGTTAAAATGCTAACTTACTTAAGAAAACAATACATAAATGTTTTGTTTTAAAGCTGATAAGCATCCTGAGAAGGAAATCTGAGGACTGGAATTTACGGTCTTCAAAGTCTGTAGACTGTGAAATAAATCTTGCTATGAACTGAAAAATCCTGTTATTTTAAAGCACTGGAAGTGTGATGTGCATCTTGCATCCTATTCACAGTTTTGTCAGTAACTCCCTTATTAAAAGCATAATTTACTCATGCAGTAAATCACACATTGAAAATATAATTAGTGGCTCCTAAATGTAAGCTCTTTATTAGTGTTTTTATTTAATTTTTAAAATTTAATATTTTAAATAAGATTGCAGCTCCCACAGCAGAGTGGGTTATGCAGTACTGTGGTTGAACATCCAGTAGTAAGTGTGCCCTGGAGAACTTTGCTGAACTTTGATGCCTCCTTTTTGTGTGGTTTCTCTTGTTTTCTTCTTGAACTTCCATGGAAAATGATCTTTTATATTCCTTGGGGCTTCAATTCCTTCTCCTGACCACTGTGGCATGGAGTGTTTTATTTGCATTTATTTTTTTCTTTCTATTACAAAAACTGAGTTTCTTCTAGCATTCCCTGTTTGTGTGTTTTGGGAACAAATCCCCAGGAACAGTGGTGTGCATTTACATCTCCTCTCAGCCCCATGTGCTCCTTCCCACATATTTCAAGGCACTGGGTTAATGCTGCCTGCCCTGCAGCAGGGTCTGGAGCAGCATTCCTGATGGTGAGCAGTGCTAAAGTTTGCAGTGCTGACTAAATCCAAGGAATTGTGCTCTCTGGGAGGTTCCTGTGCCATGGTGCCGGCCCAGGCTGGGACAATGGCACGCTCCAGTGCCTGGGGTAATGATCTCTGCAGTGGCACAGAGACCAACTTGTGTGCACTCTGCAGCCCTGCCTGGCCAGCAGGGGAGGGAGCTGTTCAGTCTGGCCAAGCCTGCAAGGAATTATTCATCCAAGTATAAAGGGCAGATTGAAAGCCTTTGGCTTTTATGGGATGGAAGGCAGTAGTTCCATTTCAGCTCAATGGAGCTCTATGCCACCTCCATAAAACTGCCCTGAGCTTGCAGAGGGACGCTGCTTCTCAGAGGCATTGCATGGGATGTGCTCTAAAATGCTCTTTTGTTCATCACAGAACTTGCTGCTTGAGTTCTTTATGGTGCTGCCCTTGGTTGGTTTTTGCAGAGTCAGTTGGAAGCTCAGGGTCAGCAGCTGTACACCTGGCTCTTGCTCCCAGAGAAAGGGCAGTGCTCTTTTGTTAGGAGCTGATATTGGGAAACACAGCACAGATTTCCGATGGGTGTTGAGTAGTGCAAAATTAAGATGGGGGAAGGATGCAACCTTCCCCTCTGCTCTCTGGATGGGTTTGTATGGATTTTCTTGTTTTGTTTTGGAGTTTGTTTTATTTTAAAGCTATTAATTGCCACAGTAATAGAAGACCGGGTCAGTTCACTGCCATCATTAAGTTTGATTGCAGCAGTAATGACAGGTGCAGGATGACATTGCTAGTGCTGTTCCCTTAGCTGCAGTGCTCCTTGCACAAAGTTAAGTAAGTTAAACCTGCTCCTGTGAGTACTTCTTTGGTAGAAAAAAACAATCCCTACTGACTCTAGTCTGTAGATAACTGAAAAGCCTTTTCTAAGCCCTTTTTCTATACAAAGTGTTTTAGAAATGCCAGCTCTTTGGATAACAGAGTGTTTGAGGTAAAATCCTTTGCATCTCCTCGAGCATGAGGTGAATGTGAGTTTGCTTCCTGGGTGGAAAATGAGGGCTTTGTCCTGCTTGATATGGCCTGGTGGGAGCAGATCTGGATTTGAGTGAACATGCAGCTGAGCTTTTACTGAGACCCTGCCAAACAGCAGGAGCTGTTTCTCAGCTGCACCTTTTCTTGTGTCAAGTCTCTCCATTCTGCTGAAAACTGGCTGTGCAGACAGTGGAGTGGGCCTGCTGGAATTCCTGTGGAAAAGGAGGACCCAGAGAGAGCCAGTCCATGCCAAAGGCTTGATCCCACAGCTTCTGTGGGGCTCACACTGTTGGAGCACAGCTGGAGAACCAAGCCCAGAGTGGTCATGGGCCCCTTGGTATCAGTGTTCCATCAGTTACCAGTAGTTCCAGAGTGTGTCCTGACACAGCTGTGACTCTGGGAAAGGCTGCTCAGGGTACTGGGGAATGTAGGTGGTCAAGGCTGTTGGAATCTGCCAGACTGCTGGATGCACTGAATTCCTCTGTTCCACTGATGCATGACAGTTTCAGAAACATTAAATCCACTTTTATTGAAGCAAATTCATCTTTTATGGTTGTCATCACCTGTATGGTGTAGCAGATTGTACTGGTCACTAAGGAGCTTATTGATAGCCATTAACTGGGTAATTTAAAGCAGCTGGCTCTTTTGGGGTGTGTTACCACATGGGCTTCTTGCCTTGGACTTTATTTCCATCATTGGCTGCAGCTGTTTGTGAGATGGGCAGCCTTGAAATAAAGGGTTCTTGCCTCGATTAGGATGTGCAACGTGTGCATTATTTGACTTTCAGAAGACAACAAGGTTTCATGCTTTCTTTATTTTTCCACAGACAGTATTTGATGCATTAAAAGGATTACAAAAGCCATACCTTTCCTGCAATATTTCATCTTCCTGCTTGTGGCAGGCAGCAAGCACAGTAAAATCAGAGGTTCCATGACTTCTTTCCAGTGTCTGCTGGTGCAGGGGTACGTTGTGATCAGGCTGGACACAGAGGCTGCTGGGGATGCCTTCAGGGGAGGAGGGCAAGGGATGGTGTCTGACACAGACTTCCTGAATTCCAGAGCTTATCCCTCTAAAAGATAGCCTCTCACCACGTTGCAGATGGGCTGCAGTGCGCTGTGGTACTGTGGTATGCATGAATGAGAGCCCTTGTCTTGGGGCTGCCTGTGTGGAGGGAGAGGGGAAGGGGAAGAGGGTGCATTTGCAGTTGTCATTCTTCATCTGTGGACAGCAGAGTTAACAGATCATCCTGATGCAATGGCACGTCTTTGTGCTCCTTACATAAATCCTGGAACTCTTGTCTCCTGAAAAGGAAGAAGAAATGTCATTAATCTGTCAGGACCTGGCTGCTTTTGGGGTCATGGGGCATCTTCAAAGTCCTAGTTGCTAAATAGGCGAACATAAAGTCTCAAGTGTTTGTGCTTGGCAGTATAAGAAGAAATCATGAGTATCAGAAATGTAGATCTAAGACCTCACTGTTCCATCCCTCCTCCTTATAGACTATGAGGAAAACCAGTGACAGGAATTAAAGAAAATAGGAAGGGGCTTCTGCCCTGGCTGACAGGTGAATCCAGGCCTCTGCCTGAGTCTGCTCTTCAATACAGCATCATCCACACTCAAGACAAGTTGTTTTCTTTGGCTCCCAAAATGTCTCTCCTGAGTAACTATGGCCTTTAATTTGGCATTTTATTATTAATTCTCTATTGCATTCACAGGAGATAGAGAGATCACTGTCCACTGCTTCATGGATAGTTCTTTCCTCACAGGGTCTCTGCCAGCTCAGAGCTTTCTCCAGACTCTTGGCTGCTGAGGGTGGAGAGGCTTTGGCACAGCTGCCCAGCGAAGCTGTGGTTGCCCCATCCCTGGAAGTGTCCAAGGCCAGGTTGGACAGAGCTTGGTGCAAACTGGGATAATGGAAATGTCCTTGCCCATGTATGGAACTGGATGACCTTTAAGGTCCCCTCCAGCCCAAATAATTTCATGATTCTGCATGTGGCATTTTGATTCTTTCTCTCTGCATGTGTCAGGAATGAGATCTGTGATCTTTTTCCAGGCTCTTGTCCCCTGCCAGGGCTTTGGCAGGACATTGTAGTGCTGGGGTACCTCTGCACAGGGCCTGGAAGTGACAGGAGCCAGAGGTTCAGGGCACAGAGTAAATTACCTGCCAAATAAACCTGCAGACAGAGCCTGCTGAGGTGGCAGTGAGCACTGGAGTAGATGTCCCATTACCTGAAGGAGTCTCTCACAGTTCTCTCCTGTGCCAGCAGCCAGCACAGTCTCTCTTACCGTATTTGTTGTGTTGTTAGGAAATGTGCTGATGAGGGAGGGCTGGGATAGTGCTTTTCCCAGCCATGGTATCTCTGTGGCATGAAGTAAATGTGTTGTGTTGCCTTGCTGTGTGTCTGGGCCAGCAGTGCAGGCAGGAGGAGAGGCCCTCCTGAGTTTACCAGGCTGGATTATGCACAGCTCAGAACACAGATGGGTCCTTAAGAAGGTCATGGGTTTAACAGCGAGGCTTTCCAGGCTGCTGCTCATTCTCTGCCACGTTCCATTTGGCTTTTATTAGAGGATCAAAGGGGTTCTGAGGGAAGATGGTGATTGAAGTCTGAAAGCTGCTTCCTTTAGAGAGAGCCCTGTTTTCAGCTGTACTGCCTGGCCCCCGAGCTGCCTGTGCTCTGCTGGGTGAGCTCTCCAGGGTGCACGAAGCTAGGACTGGTTAATCCTGGTGCACAGCTGAACTCCCCCTGGAATGTAACCTGTCCCTGCAATCTCAGAGGAGCCCTCTTGCACCTGACATGTGGGGGGGAAGGGTCTGTCTCTGGTCAACACACTCCTTCAGAACTTGCTCCCAGTCAGACCAGGAATGCAGGGACTCCAGGGATCAGCGTTGTCCTGAGCTCTGAACCGTAAAGTAACTGGCATGTTACTCTTGAAATAAGCTAAACAGGAAAAATTGCATAACTTTGTCTTGAGCTTTTAAGGAAGACATTATTTGGGCTGACTGTTCTGAAGAAGAGCATTAGTCCTGTGGCTTCTAGTCTAGACAGGGAGGTAGAGAAACCTGGCTTGGGCTCCTGGGCCTTCCACAGTCTGGCAGAGACCTGTGGCACAGGGACTGGAAGACTTACCTCTGCAAATGGAACAAGACTTAATTATTCAGTTCTCCAACTGAACACCAGGTGTTACTTAAGTAGATTTCTTATATAAGTCTGCTGAAAACAAGGCCAGTAGAGATTGCTATGCTGGGATTGTGGGTGAGGGATGGCTGAGGCACGGGCACACCTAAACAAAGCTTAGAAACATGTGTTGAGCCATTTCCAGCAGAGATGTGTGTAACTCTGTTATTTTCTTTTGTTCCTTGATTACACAACTTTGGATTGTTATTAGAATTGATAATTATGGTCGCTTTAGTGGAGACGAGTTTGCTGAGTGAAAACAGGCTGAATAAAAATGGTGGTGTTCTGCCTTTGTGCCATCGTAGGTGGTTGTGGATTCCTTTCTAAGTGTTTTTTTTTCCTCTCCTAGGTTAAGGGAAATACTGAAGAAAGCCTCTCTCCCTCCAGAGGATCCCGACACCCTGCTGTCAGTTACCTTGGCCATAGTTGAGACAGACTCCACAATAGTCTACTATAAAATGACTGATGGCTTTGTAATGCCAGAGCCTCCTGATGATACCGAAGATGTGGATAATAAACAGTGGAGGAAGAAAAGAAAGAAACTTTTCAAATGATTTGGGCAGAGAAAACAAAACTTGAACTCCTGTGCTCAAATCCAAACAAATGCAGGAACTGATGTATGTGAATAAAAGTGTGTGTGCTAAAGTCTGCCTTGGCATATCAAGGATGTGTTCAGGGAGAACAGAGGCTTGTGCAGCTGCACTGTGATGAAATACCATTGGAGGTATGAATTAAGTCATGCTTTGACACAGATCAGTCCTGACTAATAAATACTCTTGGGAAGTGTTTGCAAAGGCTCTGTTTCCTCTTTATCTGGTCAGGTACATAACAGAATAAACACATCCTTACCCATACTGTAAATATTGCTTACAGGTAAGTCTGAAGGGCTTGTGGCAGGACTGAAGGGTTTTGTAGTTTACAGAGTGTCTTTGTCTTAGCCCTGTCAGAAGCACTCATGCTGCCCCACAGGTTACATTTCTGAGCATTGCTTTCTTCCCTCTGCTTTTGGAGAAAAGGCTCTTCCACAGAAATACCTTATTTTAATTTTTTTCCTGCAGAGGAAAACTGATTATAGCAGCACCAGAGGCAACTCAAACTCCAAAGTATGAGAGCAAAGTATGTCACCATCTATGCTGTAAGAGCACACCAGTTACCTGCTTCAGGCACCAACTAGGTTTCTAAAGCCATTGGCATTCCTAGGATTTATTTTATTATGTCCTTGGACACAGCTTCTGCATATTGAAAGTGATTGCCCAGGAGGTACTTCAGCTCGGAGTTAAGAGGAAAATAACTGACTTTTAGTTACTTCTGTGGGAATTTTCCACGTCTTTTACATGAAAATCTTCTCCAGGTTAAACTTAAAGAGTTCCCTGGCATTCAAATAACATCTCCGAGCAGCTTTTTGAGCACAGGATTGTCTGTGACAGCTGTGTGGCCAAGGATCACACATTCAGAAGGTGAAGCACAAGAGGTTTTCTTCTTGCATGAGTAGAAGAATGGGAGAGAATCCAAAAACCAATCTGGAAATGAAAGACCATTTAAGCTTTGCTATCCCTGGGACTGGAGTGGATGTTTCTGTGGCTGTGGAGCTTGATGCTAGTTTGTGCTGGGAGGCAGAATGATCCCACAGGGAGTCCTGCACACCCTTGGAGGAGGTGTGTCACTCACATGGAGCTCTGTGGGACACCTTTATCCCAACACAGCCTGGGGAGACTCAGCATCTGTGGGTTTCAGTCATGGAGAAAAAGAGTTTTCCTTTGCCTTTCTCAGTGTTACTCCCCTCATGGAGGAAACCATCGTTTTACTTTGGTCTGGTGCTGTCCTGCCTTTAAGGGCCCCCTGTGTGCTGATGCCTGCCATGCTGCATGTGACCTTGACATTGGTATTTCCTGGGATCCATGGCATCTTCCATAAAGCAAGTGTTACATCTGGCTAGCCTACTTGCCACCAAGTAAATTGTCTTTGTTACAAGCTGGGAAGTACTTCAGCCCTGCAGGAAAAGAGCTGGTTTGTGTGAAGGAGGCTGTAACAGATGCAGCATGTGGCAGATTTGCTTTTTAAGTGACACGTGCTTAACCTTAAAAGTAAATTCCTTTGCTTCAGTTTCTGGGAAATACTGCCAGTTTGCAGTTTGCTGCATGACTGATGCTTGGCTTTACCCTTCATTTTATCATTTTTGTGCTCAGAAAGGGGAGCCTCATAACTTAAACCTCCTTTTCTATACACTGAAAAATGTTGACCCAGGCTTCACAGATCACATCGGAGAAACTGTGTCTGAAGGCTTTGATTTCTGTTTCTTCTTGTGTCCCACTGAGAAATGATTATATAGGCCTTTTTCCAGCCTCCTTAGATTGTGGTGATTCTTTACTTCTGAGGGAAATAAAACAGAGAAGAACTAATAGTATCACAGCACTGTTTGTCCCATAGGTATTACAGTATAAACATGGGGATGTTAAATAAGCTTGGAGCCAGCTGTGCTGCTCCTTTACATTCCACTGAAGTATTTCTCTGTCAAGTCAACACACAGACTGCAGCCTCTGGTCTTCCAGGCACTGAATAAAGATGGGAAGAGACTTCTTCTAGAAGTCTGTCAGTTCAGAGCAGTAGCTCATTAACATTCCTGAATCCATAGCATCCTGGTCCTGTGCCCAAAGTGTTCAAGCATGACTCTGCTTTAAGTGTTTGTGATACATCCATGGAAGTGTGAGCCATGGCACTGCTGCCAATCCAGCACTTATTTCAGCCCAGAAGATTTTTCAGGCTCCACACTGCTATCTTTTAGAGTTTTTTTAGGTTTATTTGCCAAGCACAGCTTGATATGTTTCATTGAGTGCCCCTGACCAACAGAAGGTGTTTTAAAATCTGGAGAGTATCATTTTGCAGTAGATTATTGTTCCAAGCCTTTCCTCTCTGCGGAGGGATGTTTGCATTGACGCTTCCCCACCGAGTCAAGAATGACAGAAAAGCAAAGGGCTGTTTTGGCCTGGCTTTGACAGCGAGACTCTTACATAAGGGAGCCTTTGCTTATGCAAACTCTGTCTCCTTGAGGCACTGCTGGCACCATCACCCACCCCTCCCAGTGCAGCCTCACTGTTTGCAGCGCACACAGAACATTTTATGCAAAGAAATGCTGGTGGAGAGGCAGGAGAGCCTTGTCAGGTCCATGAGGAGGAGCTGTGCTTGCCAGCAGTGGCCAGGAGAGCTCCCACAGCCCTTTGTGAGCCCACTCTGAGCACAGGGGGCTGTCTGGGCAGCAGCTGCTCCCGTGGGAGTCTCCCAGGCCTCCGTGTCTCTGTGTGCTCCAGGGCAGCAGAGGAACCTCTGGCTCAGCACACGTCTCTGCTTCCTGGGCATGCTGGCATGGCAGTGAGGCAGAGGCCAGGTAAAGGGGTGTTGCTTCCACACCTTAAGCAACATCCCATCCCCTACAAAGTGGCCCTCGGCATCTACAAAACACTTGAGTTTCACAGAAATCACTAGAAGGAAAACTTGGGCTCTTGTAACCCATGCTTGATCTTGGCACAGTTTTCCACAGGATCTCCTGCTGGGACACAGCAGTTGGATAATAACACTGCTACTGCTAAAGCTAAGCCATCTTAACCTTCCTCTTTTCTGTCAGCAGAAGCTTTTTTTGTTTAAAATATTTTTTTTCCTACTAAAGAATCCATATGAATTTATTAATCGGCCTACTAGTGTTGCAGAGCTATAGGAATTCTATGTTTAATAGCTTGTCCCAAGGAGTTTTCAGCAGATTTCAGTAGAATCTCAATGCTGTCAACTAGTCTTCAAGCCCTGTTCTGTGTAAATAGACTACTTGTTAACCTTCTCTAGTCCGCCAGGGCCAGGACCCGAGAGAAGGCTGGAGATCTGAAAGAGGTTCTGTCCCCAGAGGGTGCTGGGCACTGCCCAGGCTCCCCAGGGAATGGGCACAGCCCCAAGGCTGCCAGAGCTCCAGGAGAGTTTGGGCAATGCTCCCAGGGATGCACAGGCTGGGATTGTTGGGGTGTCCTGAGCCAGGAGTTGGACTGGATGACTGATCCTTGTGACTCCCTTCCCACTCAGGATATTTCATGCTTCTAAAGATAGCTACAGTTGCAGCTCATATTTCAGAGTATCCAGGGAGCTGATGGCTTTTCCGTTTCATTCCCTCATTTCTCAGACGCTCCCACTGAGAGCCCGGATCCCTGCCTGCAGCAGAGCTCACTGAATCAGTGATGCTCTGACTCCTGCTCAGCTCCATGCTGGGTGTTGTGTTTGCAGCACCTGACAGACAGAATCCATTGCCTGGTGCCTCCTTAGTCATTCTTTGCTCCCCAACCTGGCTGCATGTTTCTCCTCATGTATCTTGCCTGGCCATCAAGCTCTCAGTGCCGAACCAGAATGGCTCTGCTGATCTTTCTCACTGCTTTTTTATTTCCCCTCTTTCTCACTGCTGTAGTCATCTCAGCAAATTTCTTACTATTGTTCACTGCTCTCTTGACCCACATTTCATACCCTTAGTTACCCTCAAATTTATCTTTCTGTGCTATCTGGAAATGCCTCTTTCTTTCCAAGCTTCCTGTTTTCTGCTGGGGTGCTGGATGGTCTGTGAAGAGCCATCTATGCCTTTCTCTGCCTCAGTCCAGGTACCAGCTGATCCTCTCAATTCCACCAGACCAATCCCATTTACCACTACAAATTTGGGTGAAATCTGAAGCAGTCTTCTGAGCCCTGTGCCAATATCCAGTGTCACAGAATATCCTGAGCTGGAAGGGATCATCCCGTCCAGCCCCTGTCTCTGCCCAGACACCCCAACAACCCCACCCCTGAGAGCACTGCCCAAACTCTCCTGGAGCTCTGGCAGCCTTGGGGCTGTGCCCATCCCCTGGGGAGCCTGGGCAGTGCCCAGCACCCTCTGGGGACAGAACCTTTCCCTGATACCCATCCCAATCCCCTGGCACAGCTCCAGCCGTTCCCTGGGCTTTATCCCTGGCCACAGGGAGCAGAGATCAAAAGGCCTCTCTCCTGAGGAGTGCTGCCTTCACAGGGCAGGGTGTGACCCCCCTTTCCATAATCCCAAACAGCCCCATTAACATCCGCCTGGGTGGATGTTCTGGATAAATCCGGCGGCAGAGCTGCTGGAGCTGCTGGTTGTGTCTGCGCCAGAGGGCGCTTGGAGACTGCCAAGCCAGAGTCTTCCTCCTCTGGGAATGCTGGAGCTCAGCAGAGCTCCCCTTACACACCTCGCCTGCTTCTCCTAAACAAAAGGAGGGTGAAAACCCTGTCAGCAGAAACATCTGCCATGGCAGTTCGTCCTACCTGAAGGAAATGGTATTACTTAAACCTTCCTGGAGAGGGACTTTGGGCAAGGGAATGTCATGACATGACAAGGGGAATGGCTTTAAGCTGCCAGAGGGCAGGATTAGATGGGATATTGGGAAGGAATTGTTCCCTGTGAGGATGGGGAGGCCCTGGCACAGGGTGCCCAGAGAAGCTGTGGCTGCCCCTGGATCCTTGAAAGTGTCCAAGGACAGAGCTTGGAGCAAACTGGGCAGTGGAAGGTGTTTTAGATCCCTCCAGGGATGGGCACTCCACCCCTGCCCTGGCAGCTGTGCCAGGCTGGACAACCATTTGGATGAAGGAATTTTTCCTAATATCCAGTCTAAACCTCTGATACCACTGTGGTGGCAGTAAAGAGCACTGTGTTACTAAACTCCTCTTTGGGTTTAGTAACACAGTACAACATGAAATTTGGGTCTGTTATGGGGAGTTTCAGGGTTGCAAAGCATGGCACTAGGAGATCCTAGAATTCAGG